TCTTTCTTTGGCAGAGTCTCACTGTATCCCAGGCTGGAGTGCAGTGGCACGCTCCCAGCAACCACCCCCCCCAGCCTCGACCTGCTGGGCTCAAGCGACCCAAGTAGCTGGGAACCACCAGTGTGTACTACCATGCCTGGCTACTTTTTTTACTTATTGTAGAAACAAAGTCTCACCAAACTGCCCAGGCTGAATCCAATCCTCAATCTGAGGATTGGATTCAGGCAATCCTCTCGCCCCCATCTCCCAAAGTTCTGGGATTATAGGTATGAGCCATCACACCTGGCCAAGGCTGGTTTCTTCTGAGGCCTCTCTCCCTTGTCTATAGATGCCAGTATTCTTTCTGTGTCTTCACATATCTTCTCTCTGCTTGCCTCTGTGTTCTCATTTCCTCTTCTAGTAAGAACACCAGTCACATTAAATTCTACTCTATTGACTTCATTTTAATTTATTACTTCTTTGAAGATCCTTTTTCCAGGTAGGGTCCTAGAACTTAGGGTTTCACCATATGAATTCTGAGTGTGACACAATTCAGCCTATAGTAGTCATTTTGCACTTTTGAAAGTGGAGGTTCATAGAAAGTGGACAACTTTCTTGCTCACTTTGCTCGTGAGTGGGGAAACGAGATTAGAACCCAGATCTCCTGCACACTGATCTGACAATTGTTTAGACAATAACGTGTCCAGTCTGTATTTTCAAGGTGACAAAATTCTATTAGAAGAAACATTAAACATTAAGTATAACATTTTTAAAATCCCAGGAATACCTGTTTTTCACTATTTTTATCACAAAATGTCAATTTTATGGATACTTAACAAAAAATATCACTTTCTTTTATGTTATGTTAAATGACTATATCTTTTTTCAATTTACATGCACTATTGCTTTTTATTTTTATGAAAGAGTGGTTGATATCCTGTCTATATCAGATCTAAATCATCTAAATTCAGAAATATATCTTCTCAGGTCTTTGGTTTGTTTGAAGTAATAAAAAATTTATAGAAACATTTTTTTGATGATTATAATCCATAAAGAAGAAAAGTGGAGCTCCATTAATTTTATTTTTCTGTATCTTTAAAATATAGTCCTAGAAAAAGTGGCAAAAACCTAAAATTTGAGCTGAATACAATTTAAGAATTCTGTGGCTTTAATTTTTTTGATCTCAGCATATTCTTTTAAGTAAAGGTAAATGGTGTGCACATATTTCACTCAACTCTACACTCCTGCATTCTGTTTTTGTTTAAATATAATATTCTTCTGACTATGCATATAGAAGAAGGGTCTTTTCTCACATGCTTTTATAAAACTGTGAAGAAAAAGGTCAGCAAAGTTGTGCTAGGCCCACGATGAAGAACTCTCTCAGAAAGAGTGAAACAAATGTGCTCTATGAAAAAATAACCAGGCTCATTATTTTTTAGAACAAGGAAAGACAAGCTGTTCTGCAGAGTAGGATGGCCCTTTTAAAAAAGAAATGTGTGGTTGCTTAAAATAACAAAAGCAGGAAGGAAAATATAGAGTGCTTAAAATCAGGTGAAATATACATTGGCGTAATAAAGACACTAAAAGCACATGTACTAAAAATTATTTTAGTGAGAAATTAGCTATAGCTGGTGTTATATTTCCACGGAAGGGACCATGAAAATGGGACAAAGCAGTGATGTTAGGATGCAGAAAAAGCATAGAGTATGTCATGAGGTATGGGTGTGCATTTGTCATTCCAGTCTAGAACACCACAGGTGTAGTATTTAAACTCAAGGTGCTGAGAGAACTTAGGCTCGTGGTATTTTCTGTCAAACACAAATATGAGATTATTTTTATATCATATTTAAAGTTAAAAGATCTATAAATTTTTCCATGTCTGTTGGTATATTTATAATAATTATGCATGCATGTTATAGTGATCATAATACTAGATTATTCATATGCCATAGACATATCACAGATATCATTGTATATGTTCACTATAATATATACTACATTATGCTGTATATAAGTATAATTGTGTTATTATAATGATGGAGATTTCTATAATAACAAATGTATTATGGGATTGTTTTTTCACTTAAATTCACGACTTAACATCTACTTTGTCCTTGAAGAAGAGTAGGATTTGGGATTCAAAGATAGAATTAATTTAGGTTTTTCTGGTGTCTTTTACTATGGGATTTTAGAAGTTTTTTTAAGTACCTACCAATTTAAAATACAATTTCTCTGTCATATGAAGGATTCCTTGGTTTGGCTCTTTTGATTGGGGGTAGATACCATCTATTCTATGAGCACTACAGAGAAAAATAAACTTGAACAAACAGGAACTTCTTTAGTTATTCCTTAGAGAATCACTTACCAGCTATTATTTATGTATTGCTATCCACATACATTAAATATAGTAAAATATTGCATTTGATATTCAATAAATTACAGAGAGTTTAGAAAAAGAGCAGAGTATTTATATGAACACTCAATGAAACTTAAGACTGGCATGTGCCAGTTAAATCCACACATTGACAAATATTTTGTCACATGACATAGAATCAGATATAAAGCATGACATAGAATCAGATATAAAGCCTAAATCCTATTCTATCATAGATGATGATAGAAGAAGGGTGGATCTGCTCTGGTCCTTTGAGATTGATCTGTGTAGATTATATTAATGGACTTTATTATGGGTTGATTTGTGAACCCACAAAATTCATGTGTTGAAGCCTTAACCTCCAGTATCACAGAATGTGACTTTATTTGTAGACAGAGTCATTAAAAATGTAGTCAAGTTAGACAGGTCATTAGAGTAGGCCTTAATATAATATTCCTGTATGTCCTTATAAAAAGGAAAAAATAAGACACAGAGAGAATCACACTAAAGGAAGACAACATGAAGACCCAGGGAGAAGACAGACATTTTTCAGC